TCAAATCGATCTTCGGCAAAGGAGCGTGACAGCCTTTCCTATTCCTGGTCCGTGTATTCTTGATCACCGACATGTATACTCCGTACACCTAGAAAAATACGTTCACAAACCGCTTTTTGCTACAGCAGAATGGCGACACCACAGGGCAACGCAACCGTTCATGCGCACCTTAGGCTGGCCACCGCCATCCGAATACTAACGTCGAAGCTGAAAGATACCAATCCGTGTGCGCTTCGCCGACGTCGATCTGTTGAAGATCGGCTTGGCGCCCACGACAAGACACGCATCGACAGTATTCTCACGGGTAGCTCAGCTCAGACAGCGGGCGCTTAGGTTGTCGTTATCGATCTTCTCTACGGAACTGCATGTCTTGCCTCTATGCAGGGCACAAGTCTCAACGTGCTCGTCCATAGGTGTATTCGATTACATAACAATGCCCGAACCGCCGGATGGCGTGCAGACAGGGCGGTATGAGTTCTAATTTCGGATCCCCGATACGACGGACATCGAATCTCGCCAAGAAAGTCCGGATGGAGAGAGATTCAGGTTTGCCGCCTTGCTGATCATTTCCGGTGGCCTGTGGACTCGGGAGAGCATTCGAGAATAATACCTGCCTTGAGGCAACTGCCATCTAGGCCCTGATATGGACACATGGTGACTCCGAACATTGGTATGTTGCTAATGATAGCAACTTTCTCCGATGCCTGGTTGCGTCCGACCCTGCTGTTGTGGAATACGGCACAGTATAGAAGCTGTGCAACCAAGAGTTGCACAGATTTACAGAGGGGCTGTCCGTGGGGTTGAAATGGTGGGACATGGGAGGGCCGGAAAATAAGGAAAAAAGGAAGCTACATTGTGTCCCTGAATACGGAGTACAGACAGGTATGTATTACGAGAATCACTCAATTTCCAGGGCATTCTATCACGACTAATACGGTTATGGGATACTAGTACGGAGAACTCCTTATTCTTACCAAGATGTTATTCTGCCGTGATTGTTGGCAGAGCACAATGACCGCCTTTCCCCGTATTGAGTGAACAGGGGCCTTTGTCGACGCAGAAATTGCGATGGATGGATGCATGTCTCCAAAGACTCGCCGAGAGCGAGCGATGGGGTAGAGACGGGGAAATAGACGACTCAACATGGCGGCCCAAAGGATGATCAAGATTGCGGGAGACTCAGAGGGCAAATGGCGAGAGCAAGAGAAAGCAAGCGACTGGGCAAGCGAACAGGCAAGCGAAAGGTCAAGCGACAACGAGAGACACTGCTGCGAGCAAGAAGCAGGAACCGGCCGACAGGCACAAAGGATTGGTCAAGGAACGTCCACTTAGAATGAGGTGGTGGTTGTCGATGGGCTGCGAGGCGCTGCCAGACCCTCTTCCCTGCACTTGCGTTGGCGGAAACGCTCTTGCGCTAAGAGGCCTAGTCAGGGGCACGCCTAGTGGAGAAGCACGCCTTCGAAGCTGACCTCTGGCGCCTCGAGCCTTGAGAGCCGTACGGTATACGAAGGCCGAAGTACTGCCACCCCTGCCATGCAACTTTGGCACCAGCGGTTCCACCTCGCGGCCTCCTCCAACAACGCACGCTGTACTTGTACAGTATGCAGATGCCGCGCTGCTCGTACCGGTACCACCCCATGTGCTGATGTGCCTGGTTGGTGGAGATGTGTACCGCCCTGGTGGTGGCGGCTGCGGATGCACCTCAAAGGAGATGGATCCTGGAATCCCTCCTCTCAAATCATGCACGCAGCACAGGGACCTTCGACCCAGCGTCTTCGGCTTCACTGCCTGGGCCAACCGTGCAGGGTTGCTTTCGTATTCCGGGCTAGAACCATGGCCCGCGCCAGTTCCCCCCCCCTTCGATTGTTTCGAATGGAGGAAGCCTGCAAAGATATAAGGCTGCTGTCCGTCCTCGAGTGCCCCCAGATCTGGTACCCTCCTTCCTTCCCTATCCCAACACATTCCTTCGCTCTACGCACTTCCTTTCTCAACGTCTTTTGCTTGAGAGGTTCATTCGTTTATACCCTCAGGCAAGACTGTTTTGAAGAGTTTTTGTTATTATTGTGTTCATCATGAAGAGGGGTGCCTTGGTTGTTGGCGCCTTCGCCATTGGCGCGGCCAATGCGACGCATTATCCCAACTGCGAGCAGGACAACTGCTACCGCAACCTGATCGACCCTCGCTTCAGCGCCGAGGCTACTCCCGCCTGCTTCAGCTGGCTCGCCGGCACCAC